GCAGCTGCTTGGAGAAGATCCTGGGTGTTAAGCAGCCTCGTGAATTATTACTCACCGAAATGTGGTATGGAGATCTTGGTATTTATCCACAAAATGTATGCATTTGACTGGCGGCCAAGGATTTCAGAGTTTTAAATAGTGTAAATGTGTGGATAAGGATGATCACATGGTAAAACTTGTTCTTTTTCTTCTTTCTCAGAGACAACTTCACACTAAGTTACACAAATGAAGAAATTCCTTATCAGGCAAGAAGGGTGCTTTCTGGCTCCTCTGCCCCAGGAGTAACATGTTTACATTGCTGTGATGTGCAGGGAGGAATTCATGTGTGTTGAGACATTTTTTCCTTAAAAAAAAAAAAAAAATTTGATGCTGTTCTTCCCAATCCAATCCAATTACAGCCTTTTCTTTTGATAATAACACTGGGGCTGTTGGTGTGTGGGGCCGGGTGGGTGCTGGAGGACTGGCAGCATCTGCCTGGCCCCAGGCACAGCCAAGGACCCCGGGGTTGTTGTGCTGTATTTATTTCCTGACTGTAGTGTCAAAGCGTAAATTATCGAAGGTTCAGCTTTGGTTCCTTCTATCTATAATAAATCCTGGAAGCAGTTTCTTCCCCCTCCATCTGGTGTGCGTGCTGCAGCTGGGCCCTTGCCCCTGGAGGGAAGATATTTCAGAGATGGTGACTCTTCTTTTTGAATAGCAGCTGTGGAAACCCCTGCCCAGCTCCGGGGGCTGTTTTGCTCTGCGCAACCCTGGCAGAGCGAGGACAAGGGGCTGAGAAGGAAGCAGGCTGGCGTCCGTGGGCTGGGAAAACCCAAACTCCTTTACAGATGGCGACAGCATGCAGCGTTGTGTTCCCCGTGAGGGTCAGATTTGTTCTCGTTTGCTTGAGACCGAGTGACGAAGCCCAAGTGCAGAACTGCAGTGAGGCTTGTAGCCACGAGCTGTGCTCTGCTGTGGGACGGATAACCGAACCGAAGTTCTGCTGAGTCTGCTTGGAGAATCCGAGTATGAAGATTTTCTATTTATTCCTGCTCTCTGTACAGAGATGGAGTTTTTCTGGAAGTTTCTATGGGAGAAAGCCCAGTAACGAGTCTGCTGGACGTGTAGCCCCAAAAGTCCCTGGAACCTCACGTAGCTGATGTTCTTCTGAGTCCCCCTCCTGCCTCCCCCAGCCCGCGGAGGTTTGGTTGGGGTCTGTTTGCTGCGAGCAGTGCAGGCACACTGCTGGAAGATGGGAAGGTTGACAATGTATGATGTTCTCAAGTTTCCAGTAAAAGTACAACTGAAAAAGTGAATCACAGCTTCCCCTCTGGAGCTCCTTGAGGACTAATAGAGAGGAAAAACGGCAGCTTTCCAGAGCCTCAATACACAGCAGTGGTTTCAGCTGAGAGGAATGAAGAAGGAGAAATCCTGCAGCTTCTCCTTCACCTACCCTGGACGAGCTGGGTCCGTCGTGGTGCTCAGCAGAGCTCAGCTCCTGTGCCCGTTCACCAGCCTGTGCAAAGCCTTGCCCACCTTGCACGGCCGGTGAAAGCCCTACATTGGGCTGTGGGGACGGATCCAACAGCTCGCGGTTAGCACGGCGAGGTTCACAGTCCTGGGGATTTAGAAGCATCAGCTGTAGCTGCTTCTAGACTGAATTCAGCTCCTAGAAGGCTAACAGCCTTATCAGTGATAAAAATCAGTTGTGACCATAGTGATGTGCCATCATGGGAGGTGAGTAGCGTTCAGGAGGTGGGCAGGAACCTGGAGTCACCCCCCTGAGAAGGGACCGTACAGTTTGGGGTGAAATACAGCGATGTGGTTGTTCCGGAGGTTTGCGTAGCTGTCGCCTGCTCGCACCTGTGTGGCTGCACAATAGCAGACGGGCAGTGTCCCGGGTCCGGTCTGGCACTTCCCAAGTGCTAAATGTTAGTTTATAAGGGGATGGAGAAATTAGAAATTCAATAAGACCCAGGAATTCTTGCAGCTTGAAAGCAGCCCTGCAAATGTAGAGAGCAAGACTTGCAGATCGTTACCAGGTGAAAAAACATTTTGGTAAAATATGTGAGCATATGCAAGTAATCTTTTGAGAATGACGTTGAGTCTTTTAGAAAACAAATAGTGGGATAAAAGGTGTCTGCAACTTTGTTTTTTTGGTTATGTCTTGTTAGTGGGTCCGTTTCCCGCGAAGCCCCGTGTTGAAGGCCTAGCGCTAACCTAGGTCAAGTTATTTTGCTTAGGATTGTCCTAGCAGCCGTTAAAATAGAGTAGGACATTGTTAGTACAGGGTAATGATTTCCACATAGCTGACTTTAATCCGCTACAACACATCTGAAAACATTTTTCCCGTCCTTGAGCCGTAAATTAAACGACTCGGAACATTTGAGCGCGACGTCTGATCTCTCACCCATTATGTTAGAAAAGTGTGATTAGTTTTTGCTGTTGCCTAAACACAAAGCTCGGACTGTTGGTAGCACGAACCTGCTGCCAGGGTGCCTTGGGGTGGCCGTGCTGACCCTGAGGTCCCCACTGCTCTGGGGCTTGCTTGGTTCCCTGTCCTGGGGGGGCTGCAGGGGACCCCCCTCTGCTGCTGGTCCTGCTGGGGGACGTGGGCACGGGGGTGTTCCTGCAGCCGGGATTGGGATGTCGGCTCAGAGCATCAGCCTGTTCTGCAGTAGCTGCCCATGGCATCGTACTCACAGATGGAGTCGTCTCTTAATTATTTCAGATGACCTCGTATTCTGCTGTTCCCAGGCAAAAGAGGGAGTCGCCTTGTGTAAGCATAAATGCTCATCAAACTTACGACTTGCATTTCTCTCTGGTGAGGCTGGTGTTTGTCCCAGTCCCCCTTTGCTTTGCCTTTAAAAGTGCCAAATAGAACCTAAATTGTGCCGTATCAGCTTAATTTCAGAGTAGTTCAAGTGGGAGCTGTGGCTGAGGTGAGTCTGGTTTTGTTCAGGCCATCGCTGGAAGCTGTACGAGGCTGTCTTGCTTATACCAAGAACTTTTGCTCGCTCTAAAGAACTGATGGTCAAGCCTTGAGTTTAATCATTAAAAGCACTAACTATGAAGGGGCTTTCTACATGCAAACCTAAGTCTGGCTGTGTCATTCATTAAGCATGAAGACACCTATGATGATTTTTTGGAAAACAAGTTTAGCTGCTTTCTGGTACAGATGATGTGATCTTTGTTTATCAGAGCTATAGGGAACTTGGAAACTAGAAAGTGCTGGCAATACTGGTGACCAAATGCCATAGCTTCATGCAGAGCAGATTTACTGCTATCGCTCTTATCTTCTGCAATCAGAATCACTTTCTGAATCTCGGTTCTCATTTACTGGCAAATTGAAGTCTTTGGGGATCCTTTAAGCTGTGTTTGGCACGCGGGCTCCAGAGCTGAGCAAAGGGGAATGTCGTAACTGCCCCTTCTCTGCGGCAGTGTGAGCACACGTCAGGCTGATTCAATGCAGGGGAAAAAGCACAGAAATAATAATGATGATCTCTTTGCATTGTTCTGGGCCTCCAGATGAAATTCTCAATGTGGGAGCAATATACTCAGCGCTGGATCATGGCAAAAAGCGAGTTGGGATTGCTGCCGTTCCTGGAAAGGATGGTTTCCTTTGTCCCACTGAAAACAGTTGGAAAGACCAACTTAAAGTGAATTGTCGCAGCCTAAAATCAAATAATTACAGGGAAGATGATTTATCAGAACAAGACATCTAGCTATGAGAAAAAGTATGTTATTCCCTGTTGAAAAAGCTGTGATGGTAGTACTGAGTAGTGGTTTGGAATAAAAAAAGCTTAAATCCTTAAGGGGTGTATCCAAAGTGCATTGAAGCCAGTGGGAGTCTTTGCTTTTGATAGGTTTTGGATCGGACCCTGAATTTGGGAAGGTAGGTTTGTATGCTGACTGGTTTAGATGCAAAGTACCAAAGGTAAAATATCACCTCAAGATTTCCTGGGTTAAAACCGTGCTCCTTATTTTTCAAACTTGGACTCTGCAGATAATTAAGCCAAAGCTGAATGTCGTACGTGGCAGGGGCCAGAGTCCGACGAAGGATGCTTGGCCGCAGTGAGTGATCTGTGCCTATCAGAATGAGGCCTGTTTTTATTAAGTGGTGCACGATGGTGATGATAAATGGAATGGTTTGCATTTGAAAACTTTATCTTGTACTTCATGCGGTTTCCATCTCCCAGCTCAACTTCTCAGCATCCAGAAAAGCCCATATATGTCCCTGCTGGACCTTGCCCGGGCCCCTACAGCTCCCTCGTGCCCCGAGCGTTGGAGGGGACAGCCGCGCTGGAGATCCCGTCCCAGCTGTGCCCCCAGATGCCTCTGTGGGGAAAAAAATGATCAGGCACATGGAAAAACCTTTGGACGGTGGCAGCGTCCTGCTCTGGCTTGGCAGGACTGAAGATGCATTTGTGAATGGAAACTGTATTTTTAGAGCTTTTTCTATCTGGCACCTGTTGAAAGGGTCAAGATGATTCATACAGGGTAGCATGTGAAAGGCATTTATATAATTCCTGCTGTGGTCTGGTATATAGGCCTGCCAGGGAATGCATATATATGTACATATATATACACACACACATAATCAGAATACATTTCAGGCAGAATACATTTCAGGATTCAGGGCCAGAACAAAGGGGCAAAGCCAGGCGTACGCAAAACAAGAACCACCACAAGCCTGTCTGCTGATTTCTTGAACTGAAATAAGTTTGTATCTTAAACTCCACACTAAGTTGGAGCCTGTAGTTTAAGAATGGTTTGAGCTTCCTGGTTTTAATAGCATGGAACTAGCATCTTCTCTATTTACCACTGTACTATTTCTGAGGATAATTTTAGACAAATGCATATATATATTCATTCCCTGGCAGGCCTATATACTATATATATGCTTGGTGGGGTTTGGGGTTTTTTTTAAAGTCTGTTTTTTGTTGCTTGGGGTTTTGGGTATCTTTGGGGCTTTTTTTTAAAAGCAATTTAAGTTGAGTTTACTTAATTTCCCATTGCAGAGCCGAAGGGAAGACCTGGTCCCCCCCTGTTCTGGAAGATGGGAAGGCTCAAGCGTATCGGATCAATATAGAGCCAGAACCGCAGGTACGGCGGCAGCAGCCCTACACGCAGGCTGGGCTTTCCAGCTGGGTTTTCTGGGGAGAGGAGATCTGTGTCTGGAATCTGGAAAGCTCTCTGCTCTGCTTGCAGTCCTTCCAGAAGCTAAGGAGTTTCTGTGTGTGGTTTTAAAACGTCATGTTTGTTAGACTTTTCCGTGCAGGTCTTGCTGTGCTTTCCTTGGGCTGGTAAAGCCCAGGCTCCTGCGGTGAACTAGATCCCCAAACTGATCTGGCTTAAACCCAGCTCCGTAATTGCCTTCCACCCAAGTTAGGCTTTGTTGAATCAGCTTGCCAGAGGCACGAGGAGGCTGGGCAAGTGCCCTGGGGAGGGGAGCAGCACCAGACCCCCCTCGACGCCGGTGACCCAGCTCCTGCCCAGCATTATTTTTGATGGAGCTCTTGGGAGCCTTCCGAAGGGTGCTGCCCGATGCCTGCCCTTCCTGAGCACAGCACGCCCGGGGTCTGTTTGCACCTGCCTTGGCCGATGTGCCTCCGTCTTGGCTGCTTCCAAAATCCACTGCACCCTCCTAATCCCGTGGCAGTGATTCACTTCACGTGGTGGTGGATGTTTTTTTGGCTGTTTGGTTTTTTTTTTTTTCTTTGATAATGGTCTCTTTTCTGTCTCGCTCCTTTCTCTTCCTTCTCTCTGCTTTGCAGCTTGTCTCTTCCCTCTGTCTTCAGCTCTTTTCCCTCGACTCTCCTGCCAGCACTCTGCCTGCAGCCTCCCCTGCCTTCCCACCCCGAGGTCTCCGAGAGCTGGGGCGAGGGCAGAACCATCTCCAGCAGCAGCCTGCTACCGGGAGGTGGATGGAGCTGAACGGATCTCCGTCTTTCGTACCCATCTCTTGACTAGTAGCTTGTTAGCAAGGTCAAAGATGACTCTCGTTCTCCTTTGGCTCCTCGAGGGCAAGAGGAACAGTGTCTCGCTCCTCCCTTTCCGCCTCCAAGTTACCCGACTGTTGGGTTTTTGGATGTGCTGACCCATGATGCCTGCTGGAGAGTTATAGGGGGAATGAGGAGGAGACCGGGAGGAGGGAATGGAGCAAAGGGGAGCTCCTGCTGTCTTGCTTCCCCTTGGATGGGCGCTGAGCTGATGCACATGCTGCAAGCTTTCCCAGGGCACACAAGGTAATGGATGGCAGGACTGAAGCCTGCTGAGATTTCTCGCTGCTGCAGGTTGGCCAACCCCTCCCAGAGCAGTGGCAGAGGCACCAGAGCTGCTTGCAAGCTTCGGAAAACAAAAGTACATCAGTTCAGGCTGACAAAAAAAATCCCACAATTGCCACAGCAACACGGGAGCACTCTTGTGCCGATGTGGAGTGTTCAAATATTGCTCATATGGTTTCTCTCTCCACAAAGGTGGTTTGTGTTATGGGCTGTTTTATGAAAGCTTTTTCTCCAGCACTTATAAAGTGCCTGTGTGCAGATGCTGTTGGCTTAGCTCTGCTGCTTGTTCCTAGAGGTGGCTCTTTGAGTGTCCTGACAAGGGTCCCAAGGTCCCCCCAGAGCCCTTCCTCAGCTCAGTCCAGAAGGAATACAAGACGTGCAAGGGTGGAAGAGGGAGGGATGATGCTACGAAGAGTGGTGTTGGCCTCGTTTCCCTTCCGTGAGCAGTGGGGAGAGAGCACTGGCAGCAGACACTGCACCAAATGACAAGAATGGGGTGAGATTCTCCAAACCCCACAAAGAGCGGACCTGTGTAGTCATGCCTGTGAATCTGTTGGCTGTTGTAGCTGTGTGGAATTTGCAAATGTTTTGCATTTCTGCCTGGGGACAGCGGGCAGAGGGGCTTGCAGCCGCTGGCGTTGCAGAATGGCAGCACCAGCAAACCCATCCCAGTATTGCACACGAGTGAGTCGTGGGTCTGCTCGTCTTTCCTGCGCTGACTGACAGAGCAGGGGGATCTGTGTGCTTGGGCTTTGAGTTCTGGCCATGTTTCCTTCATTAATCAATTACGGCAATCTTTTTTGACAGTTATTTTTTCTTAATAGACTTAGATGTGCCCAAAACCCTATGAATAATATTAAATAAAGACCAAATGTGCAGCAGTTCTGCTGCCAGATACAACATTTCTGAGGTTTAATGCAGATTGGATTTGAATCTGACTATTAATATATGTTACATATGGATCTTTTTAAAAATTAGACAGTTACATAGAATATAATGAGGGAGTAGAGGTGGATTTTCCCAAATCCAGACCTACACTGAAAATGTGTAAATCTGGGGAGCACTCAGCGGGTAAAGCAGACGTGTTTGTGGCAAGGCATCAAGAGAGGTACAAACAAGAATATGCAGGTACAGACAACAGGTTCCTGCTCTTGCTCTCTTTTTCAATGGCTGGATCTCGACGTTGTCTTGCTTAATGGCTTTTCTGGTTTCCCAGAGAGGAGGTGAAGGAGGTACCACATGCACATTAGTGTATTCTTGCTGTGGTTGCACCCTAGATGTGCTGGTTGACTCTTCTCGCTCCCCAAACCGATGGTGCCTCGAGCGTGGTTCACACTGACTGCTCGGGACGTGTGCCAGTAGCTGTACTAACTAACCCCTGCGTTATTGCAGGTGTCCTCTGACTTGCGCGGTGCTAAGGGTGATCATCAGCACCCAAGAGTGCCAACCCACGCAGCAGGCATCGCGTCCACTGGGAACAGAGATCCCAGTCATGGCTGGAGTCCCCTGTGGAGCAATTCCATATGACCCAGGACTGCCCTATGCTGTGTTCATTCAGCCCGTGTAGCAAAGGCACTTATTAGATTGTGAGAAAGAAAAGACGCATTGTAAAGTAATAGCGTGGCTCAAGATGTGCAACCTTTAGGTGCACTTCCTTGCATCTGGAAAAAAGCCATCTGCTTTGAAACACAGGGGAAAAAAAGTCTGCTGGAATTCTGCCCTCGAATCGCAAAAATAGGTTTGGGGTTGTCCTCAAAAAGGGTTTTGAGAGCTTTACCCCAAGTGGCCTTTCCAGTAATGTGGAGCACGTGTCTTTCCTTCCTCCAGGTTTTACTCGATCAACTTTTCCACTGTACTGGGCAAAGATGTCTTGAAAGTCTTTTGACTTGTGACTACAGTAATTCTTGGTAGAGGCCCCAAAACATGTGAGCATAAGCAGAATGCCTAAATCTGTGTGATTTCTAGGAAAGCGTGTACCCTGTAGATTACATCTTAGTTAAGTGCAATCTTTGTCTTGAAGGCAGCGAGGCTTGCAGTTGTCTTCTGTGCAAGAGAACTTGGAAGGTATGGACCAGCTGATGAGCTCTCCTCTCCTCTCTTTCTAAATCTGTTGTGGTTTGTCACTTGAGCTCTGTGGAAAACCCCTACTCAGAGATCAAGAATATAATCAATCTGCCTTATTAAAATTTTGATTAGTGCTATGACTGTAAGGAATAACTGCCCTCGCGACTGAAGAAGCTGGAACTGGAGAGAGCTGCTTGTTCACAATTAGCAGAAATGACACTGAACAGGATGCTAGTGAGTCACCCTCATGAAATAATATTTTTTTTTAAAAAGCAGACTTTGGTTATCAGTTGGTTACACTATACAAGTTTGTCCTTAACAGCAAGGGTCTCTAGAGGAGGACACAAATTCAGTGACATTCAAAGTTGTATCCCAAATAACGAAGGGCTGTGTGTCTGTCGGTCCTGGTTGTAGGTGACAGCTGGACCCACGGGGATGCTGCTCGGTGCTCTCTGGCCAGCAGCGCCGTCGCGTGGAGTTCAGATTCCCATCACGCAGACATGACATCACTGCTGACGTGTTGGGATCTCCAGTCTTGCTTTGCCACTGGCTGTTTGCCCGGTGGCTGCAGGCACTGGCCCTTGCCATCCCTTCCCGGCAGACGGGGAGAGCGGGAGTGTTGATCCATCAGTTTCTGGAAATCCCACTGTCTTGTAGCATGAGCTCGCTAGTCAAAATGCCGCCATGTGGTACTAATAAAAGGAGAGGACGTTTGTTTTCTTGACTGTTCCCACACTGCCACAATTGGCAGCCTTTTGGCCCAGGGGGCTGGAAACGTGGGCTTTGGGCTGTGGGGCAGAGCCCTGTCAGCGCTAATTGACAGTAGATCAAGTGTCTGGGTGGGAGAACAATTGTAGCAGAAATTAAATTGGTAACGTGTAGCCGGAGCTGGAATAGGATGCGAGTCCTCCCAAACCTGGACACTTGGCTAAAATAAGCTCTGGGGGGTGAAAGGCTGGGTTTCCTCCGGCTGTCCGGAGAGGGAGAGGCACTTCCCGCAGGCGGCCAGTCAGCCCCGTCCCCGTGGGAATGGCATCCCAGTGCCACCCAGCTGGCAGAGCGGCACCCATGTCGTTCTCGGGGGGGAGGGATGGGGATGGTGGGTCGGTGCTCCCGGTCCTGCTTGCTTTGGTCCTCTCTCGTGCTGTGCCCCGTGAGCTGGGGCTTTCCGAGCCCGACCGAGGGGCGAGCTCTGAGCAGTGAAGAAAAACTGGAAGGATGAATGGCTCCTCGTTTGATTAATTGGCTCCGAGTATTGCTTTAAGTTCTCAATGGGTTGGTGTTGTGCAGGAAATTTCCATACGCGTCTTTGCAAAAGCACGGCACAGGCCATGCTGGTTTCTGTGAACCAGGGGTTAAAGCCTCCTCGCTGGAGAGGTGGAATTTCCTTTCTCAAGGTGACCGACCTTCCTTCCTCCCCTGGTTGGCAGGGTGGGATGGGCCACGGCTGCTCCTGGGAAAGATCCCGCCGGGACCCCCGGCTCCCCCATCGAACCAGTCCTCGCGCGGGCATCCACTGGTGCTCTCGGGGCTGAGGGAGGGGGAAAACGTCTGCCTCGTACTTTTGGGAAAACAGAGGATGAGATAATGCCCTGGCACGAGACTGGGTTCCCGTCGCATGGGAACTCCCAGTGCGTTGTTTGAGGACTGATTTAATAGCAGAAACATGCTGAATCCTGATGGCTGCTGTAAGCAGCGTCGGCCTTGAACTGCGGATACTCAGGCACTATTTCACATTTGGGTATCAGGGTTTTGTACACCACCAAAATCTGCTGATCTAATTTACTGGGTGAAGAGGTTACGCACAAGCTGGTGTGCGCTTGTGTTTATTTTTTTCCTGTGATATCACATTGAATCATTTGAAAACAAAGGGATTTTTCTCAGTACCACTGTAACGTGTTAATCTTTCGTAGCTGTAACCTTTTATGTGAAATCCTCTATACACCTCTTACATAAATCAGCATCTTTGCTAAGTGAGCTTCAATAATCCTGGTGTATGAAAGAGGAAAGAACAATCTGGCGATAAAAGAAAAAAATGGGAATGGAAACTTCAAAATGGTGTTTTCTTCTGCCCAGGTAGCTTGACTAGTTTGCTCTCATAGAATGTAAATAGGAGCTATACTAAAATACAAACTGTGGGTTTATTTAGGACAAAACAGAAAATGTTGTTGGATAAAGCACTAACGCAGATATATGCAGTGTTATTTTACTTGATAACATCAGTTTCAGTGATGACTCTGTTAACACAGGTAAGGACGCTGCCTGCTTGTGTACTCAGAAATACCGAGTGCTTGTTTGGAAGCAGACGTGTAGTTCAGTGCTGCTGTTCTTACCCATTGGGAAAAATAACTTACCCCATTTCATGGGTCCCTTCCAACTTGAGATATTCTGTGATGATTCTATGGTTTTTCCTTGTTGCTCACTTAAGATGAATGCATTGCTCTTTGCAGTCACTTGTTTGCCCTGCTGGGGTGAGAGCATGTGTAGAGAGCAGTCCCAGAGCGGTTGGGGGGGGATGCTGGGCTCAGGAGGGATGCTGGGCGCAGGAGGGATGCTCACTGTGGTCCCCCGGACTCCTTGCAGCCAGCCGAGTGGCACAGGGTGGACCAGCTGGTGAAGGGGATGGGGCGAGGGCAGGGAGAGGCTTCCAAAACTTTTTTTTGGCAGGAGGGGTAGGTAAATGGCAGCCAGGGCGTGCGGAGAGCCCGGGACGGCCGCGCTGCAGCAGCTGCCTCCCATCCCCTGGAACAGCAGGCTCCTGCCGCAGAGGGCTGGGACGTCCCACGGGCACTGCCAGGGCTTGTTTGTTAGCAGGGAAGCCTGGGATGTGTTTTTGACTCGAGCTGAGTTTATCTTCTTTATTAATGAGTAAAAGCAAAAGGCTGGGGCGTTCCAAAATGAAAACCAAAATATTATCCCATTGCTTTTGTTGTGTTTTTTTTGTGTAACTTACCCTGGCTTTTACAGAAAGAGATGTTCAGATAAGCCACGGTGATGAAGTAGGCATCTTTGGGGCTTAAGCACGTAATATTTCTGTAGACTGAAGTTTAGCTTGTTGCCAGTGATGCTTTTTTCTCTCCATTAGCTGCTGATAGTGGTTATGGAAAGAGAATCAGAAAGTATGATACCATAACACCTGAAAATGCAACAATTCCCCCAAGTGGGAGTAGAGGGGAGAGACAGCAAGCTGAAAGGGATGAAATCAGGACAATGCCCATTAGTGTTAAGCTCGCTAGGCTTGTTCTTTAAGCCAAATACCAGATGGTGAGAAAAGTGATTTAATGGTAGTATTAAATGGTGGCTCGGGCAGGTGGCACTGAAAAGGGAACAGCATCTTCCCTAAGAGGAGGGAGAGCAGGCAGGAGGCCAGGGTGGATACTTGTGATGGTTTTGGAGGTTTTTGTCTCTGTAGCAGATGTTATTTTCTATGAGTGGGGAGGTTGAGCCAACACACGCAGCAGCCCGTGCACCATGGGGGCAGCTGGAGGCTGAGCACTGGCAGGATGCATTGCCTGCACTGAGCAATGCTCTCCTGCACCTCAGCTGTCTGCTCCTGGGCTGGAAAGGTGACCCTGAACACTGGGAAGCAGAGAGAAAATCCTTTCTAGGGTTTAGACTGTTGCTGAGCTTAGCTATGGCGAGATAGTCATCTGGCAGGAGGGCACTGCTGCTGCTGCCAGAGAGACGAGGACATTTCGAGGCTCTTTGTTATCTGGGGTTATTGTATTGCAAAAATACCTTCAGGTTTTACTGATATTTATTTTCTGTTAATGGTCATTAGGTTTTCCTGTATGAATGAAAGTTAAATACTGCTTATACATAGAAATTATTTTATTCTTAGGCTTCTTCACCTAGCCTAATTTCTTCTAAAATTACTTACCATGAATATTAGTTCTGTTCATGTGAAACTGCAGCTGAAGTTGTCTTAGGACTGTGAGAGCCAGAGATACACCTAGCCTGAGCCTTAACAGTTTATGATGTTACTGCAGTGCAATAGTTACTCCGATGTCCAAAAGTATTTACGTTGCCTTTGCAGAAGGGCTTTGTCTGCAGAGCTTTGCCCGAAGGTGTTTTGAAAACGCAGCCAGTATATCCTATGCCCTCCACTTCAGCAGAGCCTATGATCCCCAGCTATCTTGCTTTTTTATGAAAGTGTTAATAAAACCAATACATTTGTACAAAGCCCTCCTCCCTCTGCTTGTTAAACACCCCCTTGCATCCTTGATATTAAAAACATGCCCTCTGCACTGGAGCAGGCAAGATAAATGGAAACACATTTTAATCATTCTTGCCGGTCTTGGGTAGCTTTTTTCCATTGCTGTGGATTTTTAAGAGACCACTGGGGAGCCAGGTAGCTTAAGGGATGAAGTCGTGGCGTTGCAGCTCAAGTCCCTCTTGAGCTCTTTAAATCGCATGAGGGCTGTGGCTTCTCCCGGGGGGTGAAGCTGTTCGCTGGAGCTGTGGGGAGCCAGCAGCCATCGGACCCTCCCCGGTGGCCATCAG